ATGAAATGGAAAGGTGACGTCATCGCTTGCGCTAACATTCGTCTGCTCCGTTTTACACATCTTTGTCTGCTGCTGCTGTCGCTGCACGCTATGTGACATACTGAGGACTGATTTGATTTCATTCACTGAGGAGAGGACTGATGACGACGTAATGAGTAAGCTGTGATTGGGCGATAAGTGCCTAACAATGGTGACTTGTACAATTTTCGGATAAAGAGAAGCCTAAGAAAGAATATAAAAACAAAAGCAAAGAGAAACAATAGCAACATCATTATCTTAACATTCCTTTTATGAGTGTTTTTGTTATCTTTAAGTTGGCTATGATTATTCACTTTTATAATGACTTATCTAATAATTTATTGTTTTCAATACGATTTGTTTCCACTAGCAACACCAATGCTATAGTTGATTATTATTGAGATTCCTCTGTTGTGATAAATCAGTACTACTGTAAGTAGCCTGCCGGCCTATCACGAGCAGCAGCTTACAAAGCTCTCTACTGTTTTGTTTGGTTCTTTACGTGGTTTATGACTATACAATACAGTGTTTGGCTAGGTTTTAGGAGGGTTAAATTAAGCTGTGATTTTAAACTTACATTTTGTAGCCTGTACCAATGTCAATGAATAGAAATGTCATGATTGCACAATATTAAAGATCCTCCCCTTTATTACCCCAGATAATTGTGGTTCTACTTTACTATATTAACAATGTACTGTAAAGTATTGTAGCCTATGCTACTTTAATTGTGTTTTATGAGGTCAAATCCCAACCTAAATTGACAGACGCTGGTTCTGAACCTCGACTTAGCCAAATTCCTGCAAACCTAACCTCAATATGACGAACCTGGTTTTAACGCAATCTTTGATATAACAAATATTCAGTTTGGTCCCTTCAGATTCGTTATACCGAGGTTGGACTGTAACTGTAATACAATTAATGGGAAATAACTTTGATTTTCGATAACTTTTTGTCAGAAAATCCAAAACCGAGAGAGAAATAACTTCGGGACTTGATTAACGCATTTAATTGGTCCGATGTACTATAGTTCTTAACTGTAAACGTTGGTTTTTGGTACTGGTTCTTTTCCTTAAAACCGGTGGTATCAACAAGAATCATTTTTACGTACCAACACATCACTATTTACAAATTAGTTATCGTTGGTGTTGCACCTTATTTATTACAGTTGTATTCAATTTAATTGATGTCTTACTATATCAGTTTTGCTTTTTCTGTCTGGATTACAAAATGTTAGTAGTTTGTGTTAAGAAAATTATAACAAATTTAGAGTAGAACATTTGTTCAGCAACCCATCATGAATTAATTGTTTACGCTTTTATGTATCAATAGTTGTAAATTTAGCCTGTGTGTTGTAAATTACCACTCTAAATTGTATTTAGTACTTCATTAGTTCATTTCATATAGTAAGACGTCATTTCAACAGCATTTCCGGTCATTTTTGGAAAGCAAATATAAATTGTTACCTATGATAAAGTTTGATGACACTACAATACTACACTACACTTACAAAGATTTCAAATGCAAATTTTATATTTACTTTGCTATGGTTAAAACATACCAAATTCCTTAATTAAATTCTGTATTTTTGTGTGTGCATTAATGTCCCTATTTCTCAGTGTTTTTTGGAAAGGACAAGAGCACCTTTAATAATGAAAATGTCAACCGGAATGTTTAATGGTGAGGTTGAGGTAGTAATTTAACTACTTTTTACCATTGTGGAAAGTAACTTCCAATTATACTACTAAAGGAAAGGGACGCCTCATAGATCTATAAAGCATTTTTTGGCTTGAAACTGTCAAATACTGTATTTGCGAAGGTTTAATAGTTTTGCCAGGATATCTGAAAATATGCAAACCAACTACTGTTCTTTATATAAGAAGGTTTCAACTGACTATTATAAGATCCCCGTGCGTAGAACGGGCACAAAGCTAGTTACAAAAATAATCGTATTACCAAGGTGTTACATTATTTAGTGATGCTCACCATTGATAGGAAGAAATGATCAGCAATATTTCACTGGCTTGTACAAACAGTTGAAAATTCGTTAAAAAAATAATCGTATCCTCAGTAATCAATTACCAAAGTATTATTATTACATGATGATTGCTGTTAATAGGAAGACGCGACCAGCGGGATTGTTATTTCATTAGTTTGTATAGACAGTTCAGTTTAGATAACGTCCTCAAATAATACGGTATTCTCAGTAATAGTATTATTTATGATACTAGCCGCTATACCCATGCCTTGCAACGGGGTCAAGACGCGGAAGAGACAATTTTGGTTCCTTGAAAATAATGGCAAGCAGCTTGAGAACGCTAAATAGAACAATTATTATGTTCCCTAGATCTGCTGTATGTAGATAGACTTTTAATTTACTATTAGTATTAACTGACTACATAAACATAAAATCCATCCATTCCATGTATCACAGCTTTTTGTTTCTGCTTGGTACAAATTAGCTGTTGTCATAAATTTAAAAAAATAACAGTGCTGCACCCTGTTGGTAATCCTATTAACTTTTTAATGCTATTGAAAATCACAGAAATTGTTTAGTTGAAACAGCTGTTAAGATTCTTTAATTCTATTTAAATTTAAGTAGTCAAAAGGTTATTAACATGGGGAAACTCCAGAGCCACTGGGGCGGAGCCAATTGGACGGACCACAAAATTGATGGTGTATGACACTGTATAAACCTATTCCATGACACTAATTCTTTTTGCCGGAATCCCAGAATCTTCTTTGCTGGAAACGTCCGACGAACAATCCTATATATCAAAGCTTATTTTATTTTTGCGGTTTTGTTTTTGAGACAAAATGTTCCCCCGCAGACGTCCCAGGTCCCAGGTTTTAAGCCGCTTAGGCAAAACAAGTTGTATTTTTGCTGCCGCTTCTCCCGCTAGCCACTTAACTGCCTGGTCAAGCAAATTAACGAATCTTCTCTCGTTTTGAGTGATTTTTCGCTAAATATTACTCGCTCAAGTCCTTCAGGAGACAATGTAATTTAATGCGTTTTTTTGTTCGGCAAAATTTGATTGCTCTCTCTTTTATTTTATGCAAACAGGGTATAGTAGATAGCAAGTGTACATGTGTAAGATGAAGACACACCTATTGTCACCATAATCAAATTAATTTTGATAGCCAAAAGAAATAAAACGTACATTTTGGTTTTGTAAAATAACTTGAGAAAAAAGTAGGGAGCACAGAACAGTAGCTAAGAAAAAAACAACAAATAATATTGAAATATTGAAAAAACTACATGCAAAATAACATGATTTTTTAAAGTTTTCCAATCAATAAAATAATAATCATTGAATAAATTATTTTATCAGTAAGTTCTTTAACAGGATTTCAATCACAATTTTTACCTATCTCTGCTTCTGCCAAGAATCCTATAAATTAGTAGACTCATAACTCAACAATAGCTGGATGGGTTTTAAAATTGTTAAATAGCATTTAAATAAGTTTTATGTCTCCAGAGATGGCAACAAAATCGTGAAAGTCTCCTGTCGTGGCATAGAAAAATCGGGACCTGCAGTCATGATGAAATCGTGAACCTCGCCTATATGATCACGGCAAAATTATGAACATCTCCCACGATCGTGGTGAACGTCTCCTGAGATCATAGCAAAACCACGAACACCCAGGATTGCGGTGATATTGAGCCTCCCTTAGTTGTGGCCAAATGGTGAACATTTGGACCGTTCCCTTACAAAGAAAAAAAATTTAAAAAGACTTAGATGCATTTGTGGTTTGGCTATCCGTTAACAATATTAACAAGAACTCGATGTTAGGTAGTAACAAGACCAGGTTTTGGATTGTTCCTTTACAAAACACAAAAAAGTGCCATTTGCATTGGTAAAAAAAAAATAATAAAAATTACAATCTTAGCAAATTTTCCATATAGGAATATGCTGAGGCAGAAGTATTGAAGGAATAGGCCAACAATAGTTTGTTGAACTTGACAGAATAGTATATTTCGTACCCTAGGGCTGAAAATGAGGTTTTGCCGGCTCGAGATAGTTTTTTTAGCTTAAAACGATCGAGAGCTACAAAAGCATTTCGGTCCGTGGTACAAACGCTATTTTTCACCACACTATACCCTATTACCACAATTCACCACAAAGATAATGTACAATGATAGTCAACACAACTACAACTTTAAGATTATGTGAAGAAATAGTTTGAGGAATCAGCAAAAATAATAATAAATATTTGCTAGGCAGCAGTGACAATAAAACAATTCTATTGCAATGCTATGGATACTGATTGTGTATTTAATATGAATTCATGTTTTAAGAAAGTAAGCGGGCAGCTGATTTTGCGGCCCTAGGGATGTAAAAACCTGTGTGGTCCCCAAGTGACGATGACAGCTGTCATGGCCAGTAAAACATAATTTTCAGCCACCAATTAACAACGTATGTAAAACAGCTAAAAACATCATAGTGTGGTGAAAAAGTATTTTCAAACAGTTTTACTAATTAAATAAGGTTGCAGTCTACACTTACCTTGCAGTGCATATGCAAGTGATTTGAATTCTACTTCTCTAAGCCACTATAGTTTAAAACTTAACACGTTCGCTGCGGCCCCATCAATGTCAGGCGTGACCCCGGTGCAGGGCAGCGTCGAGCAAACCAGTTTGGCTTAAAAATATTTTTGTCCGACGAGTAGCAAATTACATGCAGTGATGTTCTGCGATATGACGAGAGCCGACGTAGTTTGCAGAAACACTCTCAGATAGCAGCACTGTCTGGAACTAGCCCGTCCCATTGTATTGCCAATTGGAGGGAGAAAGACGTGACAACAAGTTGATTTCTAAGCTTTCCAGGAGATTTTACAGGGAAATTTACTACCAACCCACACCACAATAAAGCACCCATTCCTAGCTAAACGCAGACATAAAAATACCTGTTCTTCCCGGAGTACTGTTGTGCAGAAATTGAATGGAATGTAGGCAATGTCCACACTCACAGGTGAGAGTTCAGGGTGGCAGAAAGGAACTAGAGCACTCACCGGTGAGTGTCCCGCAGCGAATGTGTTAAGTTAGAAAGATTTGTATAAATGGTTCTATACTCCTCAAAATCACAGTAAAAATTTGTTATCAAAAAGGCATAAATGAGGTGATAAGGTTCTATTAACTATTTACTAATGATTTCCTTTTTTTAAACAAAAGAATTTGCATTTTTTCAAATAAAAAAGTTGTTTTAAAATAAAGTCACAAAATACCAAACATTTAATTTTATTACTGAGAGATCTTGAATTATGCAAACTGTAAACTGCAACCTTAAAAGTTAAAATGTCACCTATAACTAAACCCCTAAGCCTTCACAGCTTTTGTTGTTACCCTGTCCAACAACAATTTCATCGAAAGGTAAGCGAAGTGTACTAAACTTCTAATGAAGGACACTGAGAAAGCTTTGACCGTCAAGGTAAAGCTTTCTCCTAGTGTCTAGCCTTGACTGTACATAGGAACGAGTCGCTGAGGCACTATCGTGTATGAACACGCACTAACATGAGCGTGTTCATCTACTGATACTATACACAATACGTATCCAAGCGTAATTTGCCTTCATTATCAGTGAGGTAGAGTAGATCTGCCATGGTCTGTTCACAAATCGCTTCTTCCGCTTTCTCGTGCATCTGTTGAACAAAATACTGAGGTCATTTAGAGAACTTCTTTTTTTTTACAAATATTATTCGAATCATCTTTTCTACAAAGTGTTCGCTGATGACTTGAGAAAATGTTATTGATAAGATCAACTCAATGTTCACCTTGCATCACATTGCGGAGTAGACTACGCTAAATTTAAATCAAGCAACTTTTCAAATAAAAAGTTAATATAATTTAAGCAATAGCCCAACACAAATAATAAAAACAGTAATCACGGCACTTTGTAATATAGTCGAATCTGGATTGAAATTTTAAACCTAACTTAAAAAGCATTGACTTAAAAAAATAGATTCAATTATTAGTGTTACCAAATTATAAAGGTTCTTTGTTGAATTCATTTTTGGTAAATTTGTAAGTAAGACAGTTTTTTTAAATTTTATATTAGGGAGGGAAAAGAATCAACATTAATATTTAAAGACTGTCAAAGTGTTAAACAAACACTTAAAGACACTTGTATTTTTTCTAGTAAACTAGCATTAATTAAAAAAAATTCTTTTGATGGAACCCTAAAATTTAATAATAATTATTTGAATTTATTTATGAATAGCCTAATTTTTATTAGTAAATTTCAACATTTGCTTGATAAAAAGAATCCCAAGGAAATATTTGATTTAGATCTGAACTTGTAATAAAATAGCCTCTATATTGACATTTATATTCTTAGATTTACAGTGCAGGTGAAAAGGAAACATTAATCAAAGGAATTTGAAAAGTGATCTAGTTGACTCAGCATAACTACAACTACTCGCAATCATATCAAGAATCTACTTATAAAGCACTTTTTTAAAATTCCAATTTGAAAAGTGGTCTGATTGACTACGTCTAACTACTTGCTACCAAGGGACTTTACAAAGCATGTTCTGTAATTCTAACCACCTTCATTTTCAATTTACAAATTCCACCCACTTAACCACAATTTTTCTAAGAACTCACCTGGAACCGTGTTTATTAGAAGACTGAATATTGCAAAATAATACCAGCATGGTCTATAAAAAAATGTAAAACGTGGGTAATCCTAAAATACTTACGCCCCGGTAGTCGTAGTCAGTGATGGGAGGACACTTGAAGGTTGGTCCGAAGTTAACGCTGACGGTTGCGCTCTTGTGTATAGAGAGGGCAGGGAAGTAAGCGCCTGCAAAAATGTCCAAGAACGCCTCTCCCATACACTCTCCATTCTTAAAGAAGATCAGTTTACTGCCTTTTAGGGGACGTAGGTTCTTCAATGACTCGTTTACTCTGTCCTTCTCCTCGTAGTACAGGTGGCTCTTGAATTTTACTAACGGCTGAAAGAAGAAAGAAATAACATTTTTATGTTAGGGAAAATATATTTAAAGAATAATAACAGATTTTCTCTTTAAATAATTTGTGTTAAGGATAAAACTTACTTTTATTTCTTGTGAAAGGAAAGATGTTAGTGGCATCTTTCAATTGGACATTCACCACATTCTAAATGTGCCTAATCTGGGTTCTTAAGAAAAGTAGTATTGAAAACAAAGAAATAAAAAAGAATAAGCGAGTTAATAATAGCAACAAATCAAATTTTTAGTACTAAGACTATCCGGAGTACTATCCTTATAATTAGACCAATTCGTAAGGCAAAAATGTGGTTTGGATTCCACTATAAACTGTAGGTCCCTTAGTTGCCATTAGCTGTATGGGCTATTAATTAACAGCTGTGTCTAAGGAATGTCGGCCTTAGTCACTAACAAGACTACAAGATCGCGCCACTCATCTCTATTCATACTTGGCTTAAAATACCTACTTTGTATGGTCGCCATTTAATAAGAAAGTATTGAAGTATTGAATGGCATAATTTTTTAATTGATCAAGTATTTTTTAAGATTTTAATGAATCCCATTTTGTTAAACAATATTCTTTTTCTTTATGTTCACACAAAAAATTGAGCATTTTTCCATTACATAAATTGAGTTAGGCCTACTTTATCTGAATTCTATGTTCACTTAAGTTATTGTTCCCATAAGCCCTTTAATTTAGACCCACGCAATTGATTTCATATGCAGATTAATTTTTTTATGTTAGATTTGTTATGTTATTGCTTCCTACACACATAATTATAATAATCAACATTAATATGTATTATACTTCGATCAGAAAATTTAGGCGGTTTGAGGAGACGTTCCCACATTACTTTTTTTGCATGTGTCACAGCTGATTGATGTTTTGGCATAACTCAGCTGTTGAGCTATTATTTCAAGGGTAGGATCAGGTGGAGAGGATACATTTCTTCCCCTAAATCATATAAATTTTGTGAACAGAGTATAAGTTATAATTTATTTAAGTTATTTAGATTAAAAAAAAAACGTTTATAATCTTTGTAAGCTCAGTGTTTGACTATGAATTAGTTTTGTGTAGGCTATAACTTTAAATTAAGGTTTATCTTAAGAGAAGTCAAAATGAAAATATGTTTTTCAATTCTGATGTTGTCAGGGTTTTTTTGTGTATTTCTAGACAGTGTCATTTTTTACGTTTTAAAAGGGAACGCTCCAACCCTGGTCTTGTTACTATCAAACGTCAACCTTTTTGTTAGATAGCATCATTAATTCATAGCCCAATGACAAATAACGTTTGGGTCTAGAAATGATCTCGCTTGGATAAAGCCAGTGACCTTCATTTAATTTACCCTGTCTTTGTAGGTCTGAGGTATGTACGTGTTGCCTGTCTCGTCTGGCATGATGATGAGGAAGCCGAGGACATCTCCTTCACCGTAGCCCGGACTGTAATGTTTACCTCGGCACTCGTGGAACCTTGTACCTTTCCTGGAATATTATACGATAAATCAATTAACATTAATATATACTACAGGTCTTCCAGTAGTCGAAAACTCAACCAGAAATATGTAATGTACAGACTTTTCTATTTTCATCCCACACTGTAAATAGAACATGTGATTGTAATTTATTTCATTTGTTGTTATTTTCTGTTGTTATTTCGTCACCAGCATAGCAGCCCCATGCCCATGTTACCTAATTTTTTTGTGCTTATTTTTTAGCCTATTTTAATAATTTATAAAGGGATTCTGCATATCTGCAGGAAAATATCTTTCTAACAGAATGCATAGATTTTCCATGCGATTCACACAAGCTTAGAGAAAAAAGTTTTAAAGAAACGTACTTGCCTGCCTATCTATATATTAATTAAGTAAGGCGATTCTTTGCGTCAAAATTGTGGGCGAATGAGAAGTCGTAGAACGACGAGAGAGGGCTAAAATTAAAGGTCTCGATCCCGTGACGACGGGAAAAATATAAAAAGATATGGAGTACAGGGATATCTAGTCTGACACATAGATAATTTAATTCCGAGTTTGTTAAAAATTACAATGATTTTTTACATTTGAACTTTTCAGGGACTTATGTCCCTACAAGCCACTAGTATTAATATACAGATGTACCTATACCAAGTGGTTGAAGTGATTGAAGTACTAGTATTGAAAAACACCATTAGGCACCCTTCACACTGGGCCACGATGGTGGCTACGTTACGTTAGCATTGATTTAAAATGGGACATCTTCACACTGAGCGTTTGTGGCGCGTATGGCCGCGCTACCAGAAATGCGGTGGCTCGGGGTTGCGATTTCCAAAGACACCAGCCTGGTGGCGCCACCACGTCGCACCATGGTTTCTTATCGGACTGTTCCAGGGTTGCCACCATAGTGGGATGAAAAAATTCATGCAGAATTCATGGTTTTCATTGGTAGTTTACAAGAAATTCATGGTCAATGCGCTTATACAATTTCAACACAATTGAGTTTTGCCGATTTCAAAAACTGACGTTAAAGAGGCAGTTTCTTTGTGTGTTACTTTTGAATAACCTTTCATACAACTTTTTCATACTTTTGAATAACCTTTCATACAACTTTTTTAGAGTGATTTATTAACAAAACTGGTCCAGCTACCTATATTCGATATGAGATATTGGAGAAGAATTGTAAAAATATATTAAGTCTAGGTTTAATTCAGTCTTTCCACCGGAATAAAACAAAAATCCCACTCACCCAGCCAAAAAAGTCCTATTTAATCCAGTTTTATCCCCTTACATACCGGTAATTGTCCTAAAATGAGCATTCTGGTTTATCTTATTCCACAACGTACTAAAATATGATGGTTTTATCAAAAAAGCTAAAAAAATCATCTGCCTTCAGTCGGACATTTGCTTTTATTGCGCACCCTGTTTATATTCCGTGCATAGTCTAAAACTTCTGATTTTGTGATTTAAGTCCCCATACCCCTTTTTCATACTAGGCGTACTAATGATTTTTTGAACCATATACAGTCCTCGAGAAGTCTCAGCTGACATCAGCATCTTTGAATGACTTGGAATACAGTTAATACTGTTCAATGAAATGGCAACCATACATAGTAGGTATTTTAAGCCAAGTATGAACGGAGATGAGTGCAGGATGAGTGGCGCGATCTTGTAGTCTTGTTAGTGACTAACCTTGAAATAAGCAATTGTTTCTGATCGTGGAACATGTTAAATACGCATCTCCACACAGTATTTTCATCGTGTTTGTTTCTATGAACTGTTTTTTAATATGAAATATTTTTATTTGGAAAATTTAATGGTACTGGTTGAATAATTGTTCCTGATTTTGAAAATTCATGGTCCATTTGAGAAATCCATGCATAATCCATGCCTTTTTTCATGGTCACAAGAATTCATGCATAATTCAAGCTTTTCAAGGTTTTCATGGCTGGTGGCAACCCTGTGTTCACATTGGAGCGACTGGCAGCGCCACCGGTCACTACCAGCGGGCATTAGGTACTCAGTCTACTAGTGGAGTGCTAAACGTAGGTCTACAGATCATGAATACCGGTACGGATAGAGTAGATACGGAGCGTTTTATATTGGAAATACAAAATAGGCCTGCAATATTGGACAGGGACATGACATCCAACGTGTACTCAGACAGAGATGCGAAGAAGAAGGTGTGGATGGAAATGGTAGATATCTTCATCGGAAAAGAAGATGCTACTGAAACTGAAAAAATGAATGGAGTTTTCTTACATTTTCGCAATTTCAAAATATATATGCTAAAGCACCTGCTTCTTCGACGTCCATGATTAAACTGTAAGCTTTGCAGGCTGCAGCTGCATTGGTGGCTGAGCTTGTGGTTCATGCACATTTTGACCGACCACCATGGTGGCCCTGTGAATAGGTCCTTATATTGTACATAAAATTAATTTATCATGCGGATGAAATCAGAGTTAGAAAAATATAGCCTGAGAGTACCTTGATCTCCAGGAGTAGCCAAACTTGTCGTAGCCGAGAGGTGCTTGTAGGTTAGCATACTCCTGAGCCCAGCCGAGTCTGGTGGCCGCCCCCTCTGGCATCTCCTCTATACTGGCCTCCCAGTACCACATACCTCTACTGACACCTACAAACACACAACACAGGTTATATGAAACCTTCCCCTATTCTTCTTTTATGAACTTATTCAAACATTTTTAACTCCAAAGTCCTACCAAGTACATAAACAAAAGGGAGGCATTAAGAAATTATTCTGTCCATCTATAATTGTAATGGTCGAAACCAGAAATGTTTAATTTTTAAGATTTGAGATTCGGTTTTGACACTAATCACTAATCTATATCACTATCAATCAATCAATCAGTTATTTATCCAGTATCAATGAGTAGACGCATGTTGTAGTATCGAACACTTACAATGAGTGGCGCGTACCATACAATAGCCTTTCTCCCCGGTCACAGCCAGCCGGTCCTCTGATATCTTGAGTTGAGGGGCTCGGTCGTGTAAAGCCAGCAATACAGAGTTGGGGCTGAGAGTGCGGTAAAGCCAGCCAGGGATTGGCTTGCCTGCCCAGTCACTGCTTTCGTCAAACTCCTGCAACGACATTGGCATTTTTAAAAGGTAATGGTCAAAACCTTGTCTTTTAAGGTTTAGTCCAACATTGGAAGGTTCAGTAATGGAGTCACATCTAGTCTGGTATTAGGAAGATGGACTTCTAATACGATCTTTAGCAATTTGGAACTCGCTCCCCACTAGGACTATAATAATTCAAATTATTTTTAATTAATACCAAGACAAATAACAATTGGGTCCAGGATCGATCCTTAAACAATCAAACCAACAACCTTTGGATTTAGAGCACTTCAACCACCCTGCCATCCAGTCAGTTAACTTGCAACAATTAAATGTAAAAAGAAATAATTATATTTTCTGCTTCTTCTTGTAACACAAATAGATTGTGCAGAACAATCCACATTTTCTTACCCTAGATAAATCAGAGTATTTGTGGTTTTTCAACCAACAATTCTTAAAATATCTAAGGTTATGTTATTTGAGGAAATGAGGAGATCTGTACGACATTTCTACCAAGACTACCCCATTGAATGGGAAATATATTTTTTAGGCCCTTAATCGATTGAATTTGTTTGGTAAAATCTTTATCAATGTAGTTCTTTAGGTAATTTTGCTTAATGTCTTTACGGCTTATGCATTTCAATAGCATATCAATCAAATATCAGTTTTTTGAAGCAGCAACACTCACTTAGGCACATGTTATTTTTTTTATGAAATATTGTGAGTGTTATTTTATTATTGGCCTACTGTACATAAACAATACATCCATGTTCAACTAAAATTAAAGCAAAAACAATCAGTGTCCTCTTCCTCTATAGTAGTGTAAAAGAAGCAAAATAGGTGTACAACCTCTATTCAACTCACTAATGCCCATCAATAACTCCCACCAAAGCTGGATACCTTTATTGTAAAGTGGCCCTCCCACCGGCCAAGTTACACATATCAGTACAACGCCTTAGTCAACTCAGCCACCATAGGCCAGGCGAGACGAGTGCCACATTCAAATGCAAGTGCATTGCTGTCGTCATTGGATTTTACGAATGGGTTAGCAGTACCTATAGCTACCACACAGAAATTGTTGTAATGAGCTGCATTTGTAACACAGTCAACAAGGGTTCAAAAATGTTAGGTAAAAGTGTTCTTAACAACCCAGTGTATTTTATTTATTTTAACCACACTAACTAAACGTTTTACATACAGACCTGTCTGAAGGGAGCGTGTGGATCAGGTTCGGCCAGTATGTAGCGGTATTCGTCTTTGTTGTAAGGGTGTTCCATGGGGTAGCCGTGGGCGGGCAGTTTGGGAGCCGCCATGTCTCCGCCCCGGCCCTTCTTGCCAGGACCTTGCGTGCCCTCCCCCAGGACCTTACGCTTCGCCCCACGGCCCTTTCCTACACCCAGTCCGCTAACTGCAAAAAATGTGCTTTGTTTATTTACAAAACTGTTTATTCTTCTTTACATTCAATTAATTAAGGAACATGTAGGTCTACATAACATTACTAGTTGTTTTAGATCATCTTGTGACTAAGTTAATCATTATTAAATGCAAATTAAATTATGTTCTACAACCTATAAAAATTAAAATGACACAAGGAAAATAGTGATCAACTGTAAATGGTTAAATGCAAAATGGTGCACAACTTTGCTTGTAGAGAAGTGTTTCATATTAAAATATTTGTTTACTCCTATGATGAAAATTGGAAAAAATCTGTTTATGAAAAAATTGTTGTATGGTAATTGGTATTTGTAATGTTTTTTACCCAAGAGATATTTTTAAAAATAATGTTCTCAGCACCTTTAATAATTTAGTTTACATTTTAAATCTTGCTTTAAAAAGGTCCAATGAAAGGAATATTCTTCAGCGCTTTACAACTCCATTAAATAACATTTATTGTGTGAGAGAGAGGTTGATATTTTTCTCCCATAACCCTGTAGCAATAATGCAGATTTTCCAATTAGCGGGGGAATGGATTAGCTAAGCAGGATTTTAACTCTTATGGTATTACGACGAGACAAACTGAAGGTTGTAAAATTTACAACATATCATGTTCTTTTAAAAGAGTAAAATATCCTAACTTGATACCTTGCTGCACTCCCATATCAGTGACCTTGAGAGAGCCGCCCCGTATCATTGCATCGTAGTTAGGCTTTATCTGAGTCAATTCTGTGTTGAGCAGACTGTACAAAGGACCTTCCTCCGTCTCCTCACATGTGAACAACACGTTCGTCTCTTTCATCAGACATCGTAGAACCTGTAATCAATATTGTTTTTACGATAAATACCTAACACTTTTTTTAGCCTACCTATTCTAATATTCTACCTATCGTAATTAATATATATTAATATTTAAAATGATGAAAAAACTTTCTTTTTTTGCTTGGTTAGCTTTGGCTAAACGTACAAGTCACAATTTTATAAACGGTGCAAAATTGTTTGAGGACCAGTATAGTCTCTACATCGGCTAGCCCCTTTTATGCCTTATCAAACTTTATCTACTTCAGATTAGCAGCCATAATGGAGACTTCTTCTTATCATAGACACCGACTTGGATCTATTTTAGTATCAAAATTGCTCACAAGATATCATTACCAAGCACGCATAAATAATATATCCAGCCTTACTACCCTTCTGAGCAAGTAATTTTCAAGTAAAATTTTTATGTATCCTATAGCTAATTTTACAAATTTCATTTACAATACTTTTTGGCTTTCAATTAAATATCTAGTTAAACTCAAACTAACCATTCATCTATAATCATTTAAAAGGCATTAAGAATCAATGATGGGATACAGGAATCATCTTGGTAACAAAAAGAAATGGGTCATGGAATTATATTTTCATAACTACCATCTATAAATCAAATATTTGGTAATTTGGTTGAAAAACTATGTAAATTGATTTTCCAGTAGGTGGAACATTAAATTAATAAATTAATAACATTTCACCATTCAGTTCTATAAAAAAGTAAGGTTTTTAATGGGAAAATGTATGTAAAACAATCTAAAGTTACACAACTCATTGATTTTTAACAGTCACAATTTCAATCTAGATTACCTGCTGTAAGATTTAAATTGTATTAGGCGAAGTAATCACCTAAGAAAATAGTAGCACAAAAATTAAGATTTCAGAGAAATGTATCATTAAAGATCTATAAAAATATATAAATGTATGGATTTAAGCTGGATTAACCAGAGTATTGACTATGAGTACTGGCCTACATTGACTGTTATCAACTTCCTCTATAGCTGATAACATTGGTAATTTATCATCAGTTTTCTATTAGACTTTGTAAGAATAATATCTTGTTAGTTAAACGCAGTTTTTATACTTATTTTCTGCTATTAAAAATAATCCTGAAAATTGGTTTTGCAAATGATTTTATATTTTATTGAAAAACTCCAAGTATGGCTTAAACTGGATGTTTCTAGATTTACGAATAGTGCTGCACCCTGTTGGTAATCCTTGTAACTTTTATGCTATTGAACATCATAGCACAGAACCAACTTGTTTAATTGAAACAGCTGTTAAGATTCATTAATTCCTTTTAAATATGAAAAATCATAAGATTAACATGGGGAACTACAGAGCCACTGGGGCGGAGCCCGGAAGGGTTTTTGAGATAAGAATATGCTTTAATGTTAATCGGGAATGTGAACTATCATCATGCCAAATTTCAGCCCAATCCGTCCAGTAGTTTATGCGTGATTGAGCAACACACACACACACACACAAACATACACACAAACTCACAAACTTTCAGATTTATAATATCAGTAAGATACTTAATTGAAACAGCTGTTAAGATTTATTAATTCCTTTTAAATATGAAAAATCATAAGATTAACATGGGGAACTACAGAGCCACTGGGGCGGAGCCCGAAAGGGTTTTTGAGATAAGAATATGCTTTAATGTTAATCGGGAATGTGAACTATCATCATGCCAAATTTCAGCCCAATCCGTCCAGTAGTTTATGCGTGATTGAGCAACACACACACACACACACAAACATACACACAAACTTACAAACTTTCAGATTTATAATATTAGTAAGAAAATTTCAGCCCAATCCGTCCGGTAGTTTATGCGTGATTGAGCAACACACACACACACACACACAAACATACACACAAACTCACAAACTTTCAGATTTATAATATCAGTAAGATACTTAATTGAAACAGCTGTTAAGATTTATTAATTCCTTTTAAATATGAAAAATCATAAGATTAACATGGGGAACTACAGAGCCACTGGGGCGGAGCCCGAAAGGGTTTTTGAGATAAGAATATGCTTTAATGTTAATCGGGAATGTGAACTATCATCATGCCAAATTTCAGCCCAATCCGTCCAGTAGTTTATGCGTGATTGAGCAACACACACACACACACACAAACATACACACAAACTTACAAACTTTCAGATTTATAATATTAGTAAGATGAATTTATTGAGTACACAGTTAATATCACTTAATATTATCCAATAAAAAATTATAATTTATAGAATTTTTTTGAGTTCTATAGAGTATTAAAATGGACCTTGCATGCTGCATAGTAGGTTAACTATAATGATAAATTAAAATTACAATTGACAATCATTGATTTTGGATAAGTCATCGAGAAGCCCAATAATTAAACAATCTCCCTAGAAGCATAAAGGTAAAATTTTGTATGTTATATTTGTTGAAGTTGCCACTTACGGTCGAATGCCAGGATTGTGTAACCCTTCTGGAGGTGGTCGTCATTCCTTCCCAGTGTGCTTCAATAAACGGTATTATATCTTTTTCTTTGCTAAATTTTGTACGAGGACATCCTTCTTTTATACTTGCTTGCGTTAGATTACCAATTGCTGTCACACACATTTGTGGGAATACTAAAAAAAAAAATAGGTCTTCAAGATACGTTATACACTACATTCTAAATACAAACATAGTAACAGGACCACGATTTGAACTGTTCCCTTGTAAAAAGGTTTTTAAAAAAGCCAGAGGTATAAGAAACAAAAAACAGTTGCGAGCACTGCGAGTGAAGAGGATATAAAAGGTTTACATAGGCCTGGACCAAGGCCACACTAAAAAAACAGGCCGTAATGCCGTAATGCGTAGCATGACGTCATGATAGAAGACAGCAATGACGTAGTATTTTTGCAATTCGTGATCAGCTGCTTGTTTTAATCTTTCCTTGAAAAATAAATAAATAAATATCCTCTGTCACAAAATATCAAACATTACGTCATTGCGGTCTTCTATCGTGACGTCATGCTTGACGAGCATTACCGCCTGTTTTTTTAGTGTGGCCTTGCCTGGACATATTCATCATACTGGTGATTTTTTTAAAGGTTTTGTAGTTTTAAAGCACATTAGTATAAAAACATCAAGAACCCCCCCCCCCACCCTGTGGCCAGAAATCAATATTCAATTCACTACCAGTCAACTTGGAATATGTTAAATGTTCTTACTCACCAGTTTTGTAGGTATTCAAGCGTTTTGTCATATTTTGTAATCAATATATTTAGGCTGTATTTGATAATTTCATTTCTATTCAAATTTGTGGTAAATAAAGTGACACTATCATAATGGGCCCCTGTGAGGTCAGAAATCCATAGTGGTATAGGCCTATTCTTCAAGTCAGAATCATTAAAAAAATGTCTCTTTTGAGTTCAACATTTGAATCAAGTACTTTGCCATAATGAAATCAAGGTTTTCAAATTGATCAAAAATCGTCTGACAACAAAGAAAGAATCAGCCAAGCTAACATTGGCATCTCATCAGGAAATATCACCTGGCCTTTTTTTACACTAAAAGTTTCTTACGTTTACCTGATTAAACTGTTATTGGCTTATTATACTCTGTGTTGATTTCTCAAATAGTTGTAATCTGAATTATATGAGGGACCATTCTCTTAACCAATCAACAAAAACATTTTAATTGAATTATACATGTCTAGTAGGCTTACTTACATGCTTGATTTTTCTTAAAACTTTCTAATCCTGTGGGGGAACAGTTTTTGCAGAAGAAAATATAGTTCATCATGAAAGGTACGAGCTTTCCGAGTTGATAGCCGATGCACGATTCATGAAACCATCTGCTGCAACTGGCACAAAGTAGCTCAATAATATTCAGGTTTCTATCCTTGCCGCTGAAACATTTAAGAGCAAAATAAATAATCCAAACAATATTAAAGTATTGTACAGCAATATAAAAGTATAAGTTAGCCTATATGCTCTTAAAAACCACCATGGCAAAAAAAAAACAGTTTAAAATGATATGAGTTGGCTAAAAAAAGGGATTAAGATTGTCAAGTGGTTAGAGCATTTGTCTTAAGAGACTTAAAAGACTCAAGACTTAAGTAGAAAGAAAACCTAACTCAGAAATTTATGTGTTAGGGCCTAGTGCTAAAAGGTCATAAGTAATTGATTTAACTAAATACAATCAGCATTAGCCATATCAAAATAAACCTCAAGAACTGAAGAAAGAAAGAAGAGGAAAGAAGAATCTACAGCTTAACCAGGATGTTTTATTAACGTTGCAGTCTAGATTTATCTATATATAGAATCAAGGTATCTGTATTAAGGCATCCAAAACACTTCAAACAATTTCCGAGGGTCCCTCTGTCTCTCTCTCTCTGTCTATTTAAAAAAGTTAAGGTTTTTTTAAAATAAGTAAGTATGGTAGGCCTATCTAAAATAAATGTAAGACGTTTAACTTATTTTCAAAATTCATGTTTTCGGCCCCTGGACTATATTGTTAAGACAATAATAGGTTTTTTACATACCTCAGTCAAATAGTCCAAAAGTTTTTTGGACTATTTGACTGAGGTATGTAAAAAACCTATTATTGTCTTAACTTATTTTTTTTATTGGAGGCAACAAAAATGTCCCCATCAGCAAATATCAGGCATTTTATAGATGAGGGCATATGAATGGTAATAACGATAATTAATCTAGAAACAGTGATGGGCTAGAACCGAACTTTATGTAACAGAGTTTAATATACCCCCGCCGCAGCAAACCTGCCATCTAAGCAAATTTCCATTTGCCTGAATTGATTTTCAATAAATCTATTTTTATAACATTAGGTTTAACGAGTACCTAGGTTTGCTGCTACAAGCAAACTAAAAAAGTGTGTTTTTGAGTAAAATAATTATAGCTTAGTATAAAATCAATTAAATTTGCCAAGTTTAATCAAAATACACCCATAAACTAGCAAATTACAACATTTTACAATATTCTCCAGAATAACTGGGAATTTTAAATTAACAATTTTTTGAATTTTCTCCCTAACCATTCACCGTACAAAAACACTTTGATATACTAAATTATTTGGTTTTTTTTTAAAGCTCTTTAAAAGGGTTTGGAGAAAAATTGACAAATTTTGTGTTTTAAGAGTAAAAAGTTAGAAAAAGCCATTTTTACCCCCCGTTAAACCCCGTTCCCATGGTCCGATCATGCTGGTTCGAACGCGAACTCATTCAAGTTTATCCCGCCTTACACCTTCAAACCAAATTTGATCAAATGGGACAAAAATTATTCAAGTTATCGTCCGGGTGGACACACAAATTTGAATGAATGGTGTTTTTGGCCTCTGGGGACATCAAAATGAAAAAGTAAATCGGCCCCAGGCCTAGGTCTTACCATGAGACCTACGGTAAAATAAGAATAAGAATAAGAAAGTTTATTGCCATTGACCAAGTTGTACATAGGAATAGGCATTGTCAAATTACATTAAATAAAATATTACTAAACATGTTCATATCCATAGGAGCATAAAATAAGAAGCAAGAAATAAATAAGAGCAACCATTTGGTACTTCCCAATAGGGAAATTCGCTAAAAAGACTAGTTGGTAAACTTTGTCCCAATTGGGAAGGTTTGGGTATTAAGTCAAATAGATAAAAATATTTGGTAGTCCAATAAAATAATGAGGTCTAGGCTCTATTTGTTTAATTTTGGGTCTAAAAAAAGTGATTTTCAAGGTGATATAGTAATTTTCCTCAAAGGTATAAGAGGGACAAAGAAATCAGACCATGTTTATGGCCATATTATGGGGAATAAATATATTTGTTTTTTAATTCGGTAGGGGCCCTAAACTAAACAAGTAGCCTACCAAATTAGAAACAACACCTATACCATCGTCCTATATTTGCAAATAACTTAGCACAATTTTTTAAAATTTGCATGCAAGCTTACCAGTAACAATTGCCTTCCCTTTCAACTTTCAAGAGGGGTGTGGGTGGTTTTAGCATTAATGTTTCCGACGTTGATTTAACGTCTGCGTTTAAATCTTCAGAACTTTTTTGTGACTGTTCTTCCATTGTTGCTAAAACAAGATCGGTTGATTTATGAATAAGACATTAAGTATTCAAAATGACAGTTGCCTAGAGTAAACCAGGATAATATGAAAGACAACATGACGTGCTCCATTGTTTAACATGTCTGCTTCACACTCCAATAATTAGCCTACATTTTAAAATTTAAGTTACTCTAGTGCATCAGTTAAGGTTACAATTGCTTAAAACGACGGGCTCATTTTTAGCAATACAGCTTCTTCAGAAATTGGATTGGATATCATATTTAACCCTACCGGTACAGCACCCATCGTTATAACCTGAGAACTCAAGCTGGGTATATATTAATCCCATCAAGTTTAATTGGATTTGATCAATTAAAAAAACAACCAATTTATTGGGAACACATTATCTTAGGCTACAAACCTCAATGTGATAGTAGCCTAGGTAACCTAAACATTACAAAACTAGCACTAATCAACCTGGATTCAAGATTGAGTTGTAAATGGGTCAACTGCCTACAACAGCCTTAAAGAATTTATCAATATTCGCTACGTGGCTCTTTTTGGTACGCAATCTTCAGAAATTTAATTAAGTAGGTACCTACCAAAACGACACTTTTGCTACGAGTGATGAACAACTATTTTCATTATAGGCTAAGCTTCATAAGGAAATAACCTTCTAATCTTTGCAAAATTAGACCACATAATTTGAGGTTATGGCCTATACAAAGTCATCATCAATGTTTATGTCTGCTGTTGTTTACAAACATAATTTAAATTATTACCGTATGTGATTAGGCCTAGCAGCGTTTTCAAAATGAGTGTTTCAAATAGTAAAAATAGCTTTATAAAGAAATTTTAAGGTTATCAAACCGAAAAATTTAGGCCTAGGCCTACCATGTTAGGCCTATTTCTATTTGATGAAGTTAGGAGTAACCCTAACTTACCCGAAATAGATGATTTTGAGAACCAAAATCGGCTGTTAATTATGAACACCCTGTTATAATGGATACGTTTTTGAGTAAATTAGAAAGGCGTTTACTATTCTACATAAACTAGGGTAGGCCTAATTTAAAAGGGACACAGTCCTAGCCTATGCTATGAAGTAGGCCTATATACTCTATATTTTTAGGTCTTATAAAATAAGTAAAGTTTGTGGTACATACTTCAGTGCACTTTATCTCTTAGCAGTTAACACATTCAATAAAATGATTGGCTTAAGTTAAGACAGAATTTTAATTTAATCGGTTGTTTAGTTTCCTAAATCCTAACCTTAATTGGTCGGTTTTGGTAACTACACTTTCGTTTCCTCCAGGGGTTTCTTTTTTCTTTAGTTGTTGTTTTGTTTTCTTTCCTGCCCCTGCGCGTACGCGGTGACGACAGACGGGATAGCCGTCCACCATGGCCTAGGGTTCACTACGATACTCGGACAGAATACGATTGAATCGATCTATCGAGAGTCTGCAATTACACTATCGATATTGAATTGTGTACACTATCGATATCGGAAAATCGGATTCGAGTTTGTTGTTGGATCTGAGTCTGAGTATTGAGTTTTCAATTTCAATCGGATTCAAATCATCTACTCAATCCTCCTCTACAAACTAACTGTATGCCTAGCCTACGTACGTACAGTAGTTTCTGCTGACTTTATGTAAACTCAAAATGTGCTACCGTCCGGTATCTAAGACAATAAAACAATAATAATTATTGTTTCAAATTACTGTACAAGAATATACAGATTTTTGTCTGCTGTGATTTTTTTAGGATTTGACAGGAGAAAATATTTGTATATTGGCTAGTACAGCATATTTTTTTCTCTAGCCCAGGATCCAGGGGGGGGGGCAAATGCCCCTGTACCTAGTGTTTTAAATTTTGAACAAAATGGTACAACTCCCATACCTGTAAAAGTTACAATTACTTTCCCATTATATAACAAAAAATCAGATTTTTAAAAAAACAACCGGTTCTAATTAAATTTGGTCTGTTGTGGTCCTAAAAATATGAAAATAAGGTGTAGGCCTATAATAATTCTAAACAAAATAATACAACCCCTATTGTTGGTTTGAATTTTAATTTGTAATTGCTGTAACAGTTGCAGTTCAAGTAAAAAGCCTTTAGCACCATCTGTTCAATTCATGACAGTAGAACCTTGATAACAAGTCGACCTTGATAACAAGGGTTATTTTCAAATCCCCTTGAAATTATTTTACCCCTAATCATATGTTATTGCAAACCTCGATAAGAAGTCAACCTAGATAACAAAGTCTTATTTTATAGTCCTTATAAGTCTTGTTATCAAGGTTCTACTGTAAATTATAGCCTATACCGTAGATAAAACATACTCCCTTAGACTTGTGCTGCTTAGTTTAGTCTATGCCTATACACATATAATTCAAAGTCAAAATTAAGAGTCAAAATAATCCAATTATAATGAAATTTTTAACAAACGTGTAAAACAACGTTTGTTGTAGCGTTCCGTTCATGAACCAGCATGATCGGACTATGAGTAGAGGTAAAAATGGGGTTTCCTCATGTTTGACCTTATAAAAACTTCAAACATCTTTGTAAATAATTCATTGGATGTTAAAAAAAAAAAAATATCAACCTATATTGCAGATAGCTAAATGGTTACCAGTAAGTTGAAAAATAAAAAAAACGTGAAAATAACTTGTTATTTTGACGAAGGTAATCAAGGTGAAGTGTGTTCTTCCCTGTATCTTATAACGCTATATCAGCAAACATACAAATTTTAAAACGAAAACAAATCTTACATTGATTGAAATGGGTGATGAGTATACTACACTTTTCAGTACCTACCAAGCTTACATGGCAATTAAATATTCTTTAAAGATTTTATTGAAGGAAAGACTTATTTCAAATAATTATATTCCCACTTGATGTGAACAATTTAAGTTTTGTTGACTGGATAGGCCTACTATGATTAGTGCACTTTATAATCGAGCTTCAACTTTATACTTGACTGTGTGGTAATTTATAATAGAATATACATAAAAGATAAATAAAATATATAACTAAGATGTTTTTGTAAATAATTTAAATTATATATAGTTAACACAAAACAATAAGAGAGTATTTTAGTATTTGTTTTGATAGAAGAAGTAAAATATCAATTGGGTTATCCCAATCGAGGGGGCTCCCAATTAATTATTTAGTTTTTATTATTATATAAAATTGTTTTTCTATCATTTGTGTTCACTTATTTACATTTTAAGTTTCTCTATAACCTCTACAGAGAGGACAAGAACACAAGAATGCAATACAAGAATACAAGAGTACTTTATTTTACAATTTTTAAGATTGAATAAGGCATCAATACAATATGTTATCGATTAAAAATCTTTGTTGATTGGAATCCTTGCAGTAGAAAGATGATTTAACTTGTAACGTAGTCACTCTAGTTGCTGCCAAGACAATTATTCATCAATGCTGTAGAAAGGTCTAAGTAACAGCCCCTGTGATGTTCCTTCTTCAGTCTTCTAGAACAGAGAAACTTTACATGTTATTTAAATAAGGAGGCTAGTGTAGGATGAATGAACAATAAATTCTCCTCAGCTAGAATGCAATGTTAAAACTTTAACGTGTCTATTTGGGTTGAATGGAGCATGTTCTCGAGAAATTAACATTTGCAGACAAACTAATGCTAAAATTCATTGAACATCCACAACATTTTATTCACTTGTATTTAAGTACGAGTTAGATAGCAGTAATATAAATTAACATAATTTAATTAAAATGTACCTTTTGACCAGATTAATTTCTACCTCAAATCATGGTTTTCTCAGTACCTAATTAACAGTTTCAACTTCATTTTTTTATGAACAACGACAGCTTATGGTTTACAAAAAATATAACCCATACCTATTTTAAAATCAAGACTAATGCAGGTTTATTTTAGCAACAGCAATGGTTTATCTGTATTAGGCTTTTAGCAACAGCAATGGTTTATCTGTATTAGGCCTAAGCCTAATTTTAATTTTAAATAGTGGCAGATGCTTTTATTTATGATCACATTACCTTAATCAAATATATTTGCATGAAATTTGTTAAAGCTTATATGCCTATTCTACCAATTTTGCTGTCCCGTTATATCTTATCTTCCAACTAAATTAATTCTCAATTTTTCCCACATTAAAATACTATAATGCAGTGGGCGGTTCCAAGGGGTGAAGGCAAGAGCCCTCCCCATTAGAATCTGACTCTGGAAATATAAGTTTAAACATAAATTTTGTCATAAATAGGTGACAGAGATTTTGGAACACAGTTCTAGACGTAAACACAGTTAAAAAAATAAAAATAGCAGATTTTCTTAAGGGGAACCCATGAAACCCCCTCCTAATGTTAATCACCCCTGTTAGCCCTTCACAACGTTCTAATCTAGAACCACCACTAATATAACAACCTCTACATGGGATCAGAGGCTGTATAGAAAATGTTACTACTATAAATAAACAATTTAAACAAATAAATGTCTTACCTGTTCACCGCTGGATTTATTTATTACGTAATAGAGAGATCTGTGACCACACTCCAATGCATTTTACGAATGTTGGTTAGAGGTACGCAAACTTGAAATCTGACTAGGCCTAGAGTCGGTTGATCAGGGTATGAACCTGCAAAAACATTAAAAAGCATTAAGTCAATCAATTTTAAAACATCAATATACAATTCCAAAGAGAAAAGCTAAGATATTATCGATGGAATAACTTATTAAGTTACTTACGGTATTACATAATGGAATAAACTTATTACATAATATAGCCTAAGCTATCGAATAAACTTAAAATATAGTAAGTTTAATCAATAGCCCATTAAGTTATGTAGGCCTATAAGTTATTGAATTTCAATATTGATTTTACATGTTAGCTTATGAGGATTCTTAAGTAGATTATCACCATTACAGGTAACTTGTATATAGTAGGTATATATAACTTAGTCAATGTTATCGCCCACCAATCTATAACAGTGTGCTGTAGCTTTAAAATGAACTTAACTTAACTTAGGTTAGCCTAAGTAGCTAACAAAACTTACAAAAAAAGGATAGGCCTACAATTACAAATTGAGGTCCAAGTGTAAATTTATTTGCTTAAAAACAATTACTAGATCTAGCCTACTTATCAACTCTTGTGTATACAATTTACATACAGTAGGCCTTGTTTATAATTATCTTTAACTACCGTACCGGTAACTTAAAAAGCTAAGCCACAGCGAAATGTTAGGGTACTTTGGTATTATGCGGAGGCCAATTATTTTAGAGAGATTTTTTACTGGAGAGTCCAAATTAACTACATACTGTAATAGGAAAAAACCTGCTTTAATTGACTGACTGTCCAAATTTGACATGATTACAATTAGCGGCCTTTGAGTTCTGTCTCCCAGAAAAAAAGGCAGCGATGTCGGGGAGGATTGAGTTAAATGCGTCGCTGCCGCTATACTCCGCCAAGTAACTTAGGTATACAGCACGCTGCGTCATGTTAGGTTGGATTATCAAATATGTTTATAAAACTTTCCCCGTTTCGTTATGAATTGAACTATACCAATTGAGTCATAACTTACTTTCGCCCGCCAAATACCCCAGATACAGGTGGTAACAGGTGATGCATGCTCCGGTCAATGACCTGGCTAAGTACTTGAGGGGATATGGCGTGCAAAAGTAATTTATGACTCATCTGGTATTGTAAGAAAACCCAACCTAACATAACTGCGCTGTGTAAGGGTGGCCTCCGGATAATACCAAAGTACCGTACCCAAGTTAACCCCACAGCACGTGTAACTTATACGAGTCTTCTTGAAAAGCATAAGTAACTTAAATAAATAAGTTATTTAAGTCATATCAAGTGAAAACTTCTAATGATTGGCCTACGATAGAAATATCAAAACTAAATTTTCATCTGATAGCAAGTTAGGCCTATAGGTTAGGCCTAGGCTATAAGTTAGGTTCTATACAGACTTGTAGGCTACCTATCAATTCAATCGCTCTAACAACTGCAAAAAATTGCAACTAACCAGCATCTTAGGAAGCGACTTAAGCTTTCATAACTTTAATGTTCTTAAGAAACCAATTAACTCTTACTGATAATCCTAAAAATGGTTTCAAACTTCATCAAGTCCCTAAAACCTTATTAGGTACAATTACCTTACCGCCACCCCTCAGAATCTTCTGATTAATACTTTGTAGGCTTAGAGGTTAATAATCTAATCTATTTAATTTTAGTCAATTATCAAATCAAGGAGACAATAACA